GTTCGTTCCCGTTCGAGTACCGGGTCCACAATTGGTACACTTGTACCCCTAGATCATAGCCAGGTTCAGTGAAAAAAACAGGTGTTTTGGTCCAAGGGGTCTGGCTGGACGGTACCGAGAACGAGACCCATTTTGATCTGGTGCTCGGGAGGCCAGGAAAGGGGTTGAAACCCCCAAATTCTTTGCAGTTGCACTTTAAGGGTCTCCCCAAGGCTCTGTGAAAATTTGGGGCCCCCTAGCACCTTCTGTCATTGAGCTATTAGCACCGTAAGGGGACAAAGCACCGTTTATGCCACAATTTCCCATAGACTTCCATGTTAACCGGAGACTGTCAAATAGGCCGACTTTGGGGGCCCGGTTCTCCGGAAACCCGGGGGCCAGCGACCCCAAACTTGGACCACATGTAGCCGGAGACCGAACGGACATGTACCCCAAAGGCGCCCATGTTAAAATTTCGGTATCGGTTCAGTCTGGTTCTGACGGCTGTTTCTCCCAGGACATTTGGTTGAAAAACACCGATTGCAGGGTCAGATACCTTGGATAAGCAGCTAAAAACCTCGTCATTACCCCCAGCAAGCTCAGTCAATCCCCTCATGAAGATCTGCCCCCCCCCCCAGCAGCAAGCTCAATCCCCCCGTGAAGATCTGCCCCCCCTTGACACCACCCCCCATCAGAAAGCTCAGTTCCCTGTGAAGATCTGCCCCCCTTGTCCATACCACCCAGCAAGATCAAACCCCCCCGTGAAAAGATCTGCCCCCCTTGTCAATACCCCCCCACAAGATCAGTCCCCCGTGAAGATCTGCCACCCCTTGTCATTACCCCCCCAGAAAGATCAGTCCCCTTCCGTGAAGATCTGCCCCCCCTTGTCCATACACCCCAGCAAGATCAGTCCCCCGTGAAGATCTGCCCCCCTTGTCATTATAACCCAGCAAGATCAGTACCCCGAAGATCTGCCCCCCTTGTCCATACACCCCAGTAAGATCAGTACCCCGTGAAGATCTGCCCCCCTTGTCATTACCCCACAGCAAGATCAGTACGCTGTGTAGATCTGCCCCCCTTGTCACCCCCCCCCCCCCAAGATCAGTCCCCCGTGAAGATCTGCCCCCTTTTGACAAAACCCCCCCCCCCCAAGTAGTAGCAAGCTCAGTCCCCCATGCAGATCTGCCCCCCCTGTCATTACCCCACAGCTAGATCAGTCTCCACTGTGTAGATCTGCCCCCCTTGTCATTCCCCCCCCTAAGATCAGTACCCCGTGAAGATCTGCCCCCCTTGTCACCCCCCCACAAATCAGTCCCCCATGAAAATCTCTGCCCCCTCTTGACACAACCCCCCCCCCCCGTAGCAGCAAGCTCAGTCCCCCGTGAAGATCTGCCCCCCCCTAGACGCAACAACCTCCCCCCCTCCCGTAGCAAAAGATCAGTCCCCCATGCAGATCTGCCCCCCTGGTCATTACCCCACAGCTAGATCAGTCTCCGCTGTGTAGATCTGCCCCCCTTGTCATTCCCCCCCCTAAGATCAGTCCCCCATGAAGATCTGCCACCCTTGTCATTACCCCCCCCAGCAAGATCAGTCCCCTTCCGTGAAGATCTGCCCCCCTTGTCATTACAACCCAGCAAGATCAGTCCCCCATGAAGATCTGCCACCCCTTGTCATTACCCCCCCCCCCAGCAAGATCAGTCCCCTTCCGTGAAGATCTGCCCCCCTTGTCATTACCCACCAGCAAGATCAGTCCCCCGTGTAGATCTGACCCCCTTGTCATTACCCCCCAGCAAGATCAGTCCCCCTTCCGTGAAGATCTGCCCCCCTTGTCTTTACAACCCAGCAAGATCAGTCCCCCCATGAAGATCTGCCCCCTTGTCATTACCCCCAGCAAAATCAGTCCCCCGTGAAGATCTACCGCCTTGTCATTACAACCCAGCAAGATCAATACCCCGTGAAGATCTGCCCCCCTTGTCATTACAACCCAGCAAGATCTGTCCCCCATGATCTCCCCCCTTGTCATTACCCACCAGCAGATCAGTCCCCCCCGTGAAGATCTGCCCCCCTTGCCATTACAACCCCAGCAAGATCAGTCCCCCATGAAGATCTGCCCCCCTTGTCATAACCCACCAGCAAGATCAGTCACCCCGTGAAGATCGGCCCCCCTTGTCCTTACACCACCAGCAAGAGAAGTCCCCCGTGAAGATCTGCCCCCCTTGTCATTATCCACCAGCAAGATCAGTCCCCCATGAAGATCTGCCCCCCTTGCCATTACAACCCAGCAGATCAGTCCCCCGTGTAGATCTGACCCTTGTCATTACCCCCCAGCAAGATCAGTCCCCTTCCGTGAAGATCTGCCCCCCCCTTGTCTTTACAACCCAGCAAGATCAGTCCCCCATGAAGATCTGCCCCCCTTGTCATTACCCCCCAGCAAAATCAGTCCCCCCGTGAAGATCTGAACCCCTTGTCATTACCCACCAGCAAGATCAGTCCCCCGTGAAAATCTGCCCCCCTTGTCCATACACCCCAGCAAGATCAGTCCCCCGTGAAGATCTGCCCCCCTTGTCATTACAACCCAGCAAGATCAGTCCCCCCATGAAGATCTGCCACCCTTGTCATTACCCCCCCCCCCCCCCCCCCCCCAGCAAGATCAGTCCCCTTCCGTGAAGATCTGCCCCCCTTGTCATTACCCACCAGCAAGATCAGTCCCCCGTGTAGATCTGACCCTTGTCATTACCCCCCCCAGCAAGATCAGTCCCCTTCCGTGAAGATCTGCCCCCCTTGTCATTACCCACCAGCAAGATCAGTCCCCCGTGTAGATCTGACCCTTGTCATTACCCCCCAGCAAGATCAGTCCCCTTCCGTGAAGATCTGCCCCCCCTTGTCTTTACAACCCAGCAAGATCAGTCCCCATGAAGATCTGCCCCCCTTGTCATTACCCACCAGCAAGATCAGTCCCCCGTGAAGATCTGCCCCCCTTGTCATTACAACCCAGCAAGATCAGTCCCCCATGAAGATCTGCCACCCTTGTCATTACTCCCCAGCAAGATCAGTCCCCTTCCGTGAAGATCTGCCCCCTTTGTACATAAGGCCCAGCAAGATCAGTGCGCCGTGAAGATCTGCCCCCCTTGTCATTACCCACCAGCAAGATCAGTCCCCCATGAAGATCTGCCCCCCTTGTCATTACCCCCCAGCAAGATCAGTCCCCCCGTGAAGATCGGCCCCCCTTTTCATTACACACCAGCAAGAACAGTCCCCCCCGTGAAGATCTGCCCCCTTTGTACATACCGCCCAGCAAGATCAGTGCACCCGTGAAGATCTGCCCCCCTTGTTATTAAAACCCAGAAAGATCAGTCCCCCGTGAAGATCTGCCCCCCCTTGTCATTACCCCCCAGCAAAATCAGTGCGCCGTGAGGATCTGCTCCCCTTGTCATTACCCACCAGCAAGATCAGTCATCCGTGAAGATCTGCCCCCCTTGTCATTACCCCCCAGCAAAATCAGTCCCTCGTGAAGATCTGCCCCCCTTGTCATTACCCACCAGCAAGATCAGTCCCCCGTGAAAATCTGCCCCCCTGGACACAACCCCCCCCCCCCCATAGCAGCAAGCTCAGTCCACCGTGAAGATCTGCCCCCCCTTGACGCAACCCCACCCCCCCCCCATAGCAGCAAGCTTAGGTGCCCCGTGAAGATCTGCCCCACTGGATGCAAGCAACCCCCCCCCCCCAGTAGCAGCAAGCTCAGTCCCCAGTGAAGATCTGCCCCCCCTTGATACAACCCCCCCCCCCCCATGGCAGCAAGCTCAGTCCCCCGTGAAGATCTGCCTCCCCTTGACGCAGCAGCCCCACCCCCCCGTAGCAGCAAGCTTAAGTGGCCCGTGAAGATCTGCCCCCCTTGACGCAAGCAACCCCCCCCCCCCCATAGCAGCAAGCTCAGTCCCCGTGCAGATCTGCCCCCCCTTGACGCAACCCCCTCCCACCCCCGTAGCAGAAAGCTCAGTCCCCCATGAAAATGTGCCCCCCATTGACGCAAGCAACCCCCCACCCGTACCAGCAAGTTCAGTCCCCGTGCAGATCTGCCCCCCCTTGACGCAACCCGCCTCCCACCCCCATAGCAGCAAGCTCAGTCCCCGTGCAGATCTGCCCCCCCTTGACGCAACCCCCTCCCCCCCCCATAGCAGAAAGCTCAGTCCCCCGTGAAAATGTGCCCCCCATTGACGCAAGCAACCCCCACCCGTAGCAGCAAGCTCAGTCCCCAGTGATAATCTGCCACCCTTGATGGAAATCCCCCCCCCATGTGACTGGCCCCCCAAATGTAACTGCACCACCAACACGTTACTGATGTCACTGATCCCCCCACATGTGACTGTACTCGCCATGTCCCAACCCTCTGCAGCTTGGACACATCTTGCAGTTCATGTGGGTTGAATCCAGCATACAAGGGGTTACCAGTGTGACAGCGAGAATACATCTTGTGGGAGGATCGTCAGCCCCAGTGATCCGAGGGATGGGATTCAGCGGTTCATATACCTTGCATCCGGCATAAAACGGGTTAACAGTGTGAGAGGAGGAAATCGCCGATCGGCTGCTAATGCCTGAAACTGGCACATGCGCAGATACGTCGAGGGGGCCAGATCTTCATAGGAGACAGATTTTCATGCTACAGCGGTGAATGGTGTAGGGAGGAAGGGCATTGGAAGTGTATGGTGTTGGCGGTCTGTTTGGGCTCCACTTAATGTCAGTAGCAGTGGGGAGTGTTGTACTGTTACCCCAACACAGGTCTGCAGGGGGGTCCATCTCTCCTATAATATGCTAATTTCCTGGTTGACATGCTGGTCCCCAAACCAGACCTCCTGACATCTCTATGACCTCAGTACTGTCAGGGGCGGGGTGATCAGCAGGACAGTCCGGCCATGCGGGCCCGGGTCTTGTATATGGAGGGGCGGGGCTATACCTCCCCTCCCTATAGGCGGCGCTGATGCCGGAAATGTGAGCGGACATGTGCAGGCCGACATACCGGGGATATGATCGGTAGATTGGTGTGTGCCGGTGTCCGGCCTGTGCTCCGGGGATCATCTCCATCATCCTCCGCCATGAGCCGGGGACTGAGCGCCGACCACCGAGGTACCTCCTGATATATACCTGATTGTATATACACCCCTCTGGCCCTCCTCTGATTGGATGAGGAGAAATAAAAACAATTGGGAGCCAAGAGCTGTCAAGCTGGGTGGGGGAGGAGCCGATTATTGGGGGGGGGGGGCATCAGACGAATCGTATAAAAATTCAAAATGTTTAATATTTAATTTACTGATTCATGAGTAATTACAATGTATTCTAATATTCTTCATAATATATCCCCCCCCCCCCCGTCCATGTACTGATTGTATATCCCCCCCCCCGGTCCATGTACTGATTGTATATCCCCCCCCCCCCCGGTCCATGTACTGATTGTATATTCCCCCCCCCCCCCCCCGGGTCCATGTACTGATTGTATATTCCCCCCCCCCCCCCCCCCCCCGTCCATGTACTGATTGTATATTTCCCCCCCCCCCCCCCCGGTCCATGTACCGATTGTATATTTCCCCCCCCCCCCCCCGGTCCATGTACTGATTGTATATTCCCCCCCCCCCCCCCCCCCCCCCCCCCCCCCGGTCCATGTACTGATTGTATATTTCCCCCCCCCCCCCCCCGGTCCATGTACCGATTGTATATTTCCCCCCCCCCCGGGTCCATGTACTGATTGTATATTCCCCCCCCCCCGGTCCATGTACTGATTGTATATTCCCCCCCCCCGGTCCATGTACTGATTGTATATTCCCCCCCCCCCCCCCCGGTCCATGTACTGATTGTATATTCCCCCCCCCCCCCGGTCCATGTACTGATTGTATATTCCCCCCCCCCCCCCCGGTCCATGTACTGATTGTATATTCCCCCCCCCCGGTCCATGTACTGATTGTATATCCCCCCCCCCCCGGTCCATGTACTGATTGTATATTCCCCCCCCCCGGTCCATGTACTGATTGTATATTCCCCCCCCCCCCCCCGTCCATGTACTGATTGTATATTCCCCCCCCCCCCCCCCGGTCCATGTACTGATTGTATATTCCCCCCCCCCCCCCGGTCCGTGTACTGATTGTATATCCCCCCCCCCCCGGTCCATGTACTGATTGTATATCCCCCCCCCCCCCCCCAGGTCCGTGTACTGATTGTATATCCCTCCCCCCCCCCCCAGGTCCGTGTACTGATTGTATATCCCTCCCCCCCCCCCCCCCAGGTCCGTGTACTGATTGTATATCCCCCCCCCCCAAGGTCCGTGTACTGATTGTATATCCCCCCCCCCCCCCCTCCGGTCCGGTACTGAACCTATAACCTCAGTGGGTGCGTGGTGGAGGGGACAGGAGCTCTGTATTGTCAGTCCTTTCCTGTATATAGTGCCCTCCCCCCCCCATCCTCTGTATATAGTGATAGGTCCTCTTTATTCCTATTACCAGGTAGAACCAGGTCCGTGTCTGACTGATCAATACTTGCCCCTCCCCCATATCTCTACACCCCCGAGCTCCCCCCCCCAAACGGCACTGTATGTCCGTGTACTGATTGGTTATATCTGTCCCCCCCCCCCCCTCTATCCCCCGTGTACTTTATTGTATACCCTGTATTGATCCCCCCCCCCTTCATTTGTCCGAGATCTATAACTGATAATAGTGTGTGACCCCCCCCCCAGGTGTCATTGGATTGGGTAAGCTCCTCTGTACTGTCTGCCGCATCCAGCCCCCCCCAACCGCAGTGTACTGATTGTATACACTCCCTCCCCCCCTCCTCCGTGTCGGTTTTACTGATTGTATATCAGCCTTCCCCCATGTACCGGGACACTTCTGAACAATGGAAACGTGTAAAACGTAGGATTGTATATCCCTGTTTGCCCCGTTGTATGCGCGTTTGCCCTTTAGAAGCCCCCCCCAGGTCCGTGTACTGATTGTATTATTAACCCAGACCCAGGTCAGAGACGCAGTACTGTTGAGATTAGCTAGGTGTGAGTTGTCATTAACATTTCTTGATTGTTTCCAAGGGTGGGGAATGTCTGGTGGAGGGAGTCATTAAGGAATTGGGGGTCATGAGGAATTTGAGGTGTGAATGGTCATTAACATATCTTTTGTTTCCAAGGGTGGGAGAGGTCTGAGGTGTGAATTGGTCATTACAAAAGCTTGGTGGGGACATCCTGTGTTCAGTGTTTTGTCCATCTGAGTACCTTGAAAACGCTTTGCATGCATTTTTCATGATGAAAAAAGGCTCCGAACAGCACTGGGAACTGGAAGAGTTAAAAAAAATTTCAAACGCTTATAAATGCGATTTGCTGCATTTTGCGTTTGAAACGCAGAAAAAAATCGACTGCTGAACGCAAATTTTCTGTGTTCAAAAAAATGACTGTAAACTCAAATGCCTGTAAATGATGATGTGTACATGGACACATAGGAAAACATTGGGGAGAGTTCAGGGGCTGCTGAAAAAAAACGCTGAACAGCTCCTAAAGGTGAGTTTATCAGCTGCAGTGTACATGAGCCCTTAATGCTGTCCTAGCACACATGGGCATCACTGTTGTGCGCTCCATTGCACGCTCCGGGCTCTTTGCGCTTCAAACGACACCACCCGTTCACTTAGCGACGATCAGGAGCCCTTAAGCCGTCCCCAAGCGGCAAAAAGTGCTAAACTTGTGCAGACTGTGCCTGGATTTCAGCTTTAACATTGTAAACATCAGACCACAGAGACCAAAAGTCTCTAAAACTTTATTCATTTATTTTTTTTTTTTAGATTGGTGAAAAGTTTGACTGTTAAGTTTTTATTGCAATCTGTGTAATATTTGTAGATTTGTCCATTTTTATTTTGTATTGGTGACCTTTGTCTCCAGGAGAACGTGAGCAGAAATCCCAAGTGTTGTCCCCAAAAAGGTACTCGGAAATCTTTCATTGGGGACACTAATTCTGATGACAACCAGGGATTCATTCCCTCTTTTTGAAGGGATTTCCACCCACTTCCTGTTTGATAGGGGTTATTACCCTCCCTATTGTATCTAACGTGGGGAAAAAAAAATGCCTTTTAGTTCTATTACACTACTAGTTCTGGGAGGCACAGTGGCTTAGTGCTTAGCACTTCCACCTGGCAGTACTAGCGTCGTTGGTTCGAATCCCAGCCACGGCACCACCTGCCTGGAGTTTGCATGTTCTCCCTGTGCCTGTGTGGGTTTCCTCTGGGTACTCCGGTTTCCTCCCACACTCCAAAGACATGCAGGTAGGTTAATTGAATCCTGTATAAATTGTCCCTAGTATGTGTATGTATGAATGTGAGTTAGGGACCTTAGATTGTACACCCCTTGAGGGTTAGGGACTGATGTGAATGTACAATATATATATGTAAAGTGCTGTGTAAATTGACGGTGCTATATAAGTACCTGAAATAAATAAAAAATACTATTCTTCCTCTCCATCCAAAGCTAAAAAAGATTGGCTATGCATACCCTTTCAATGTCACTAAAGGAAAAACTTATATATATATATATATATATATATATATATATATATATGAGTAAGGGAGGGTTTAGCTTCTAGTTTTTGTTTTTTTTCTTCTTTTTTTTTTTCGATCTGTTTCCCATAGGGGAGATTTAACGTCATTTCCTGTCCCATAGCTAAAACCGGAAGTGAGAGGAAATCCCTCCAAAGTGAGGGAATCCCACGGTGTCACCAGAACTGGTGTCCCCATCGGAAGATTTCCCTTCTATTACAGTTTTGGTTTTAACCCCAAATTTAGGATCTTCTTTTCACTTAAGTATAATTGCTCAGGCTGGTGAGATCAAGTTGTACGGGACATGGATCTGTAGATTGGACTCCCAATACGTACATTTTCCATCACGTGGCCCTTTGGTACGTTTTGTGTGACCCTCGGGGCTCCTGCAGTCTGTGTCTGTAGTCTGACTCCCAAAACACATCCCTAGTCTCCAAAAACTTCTAGAATATGTGCTGAACTTTATGCGGCCCTTTGGAGATGGGCCACCCTTGAGGCCCACTCTATCAAGAAAATTGATCACCACTGTTTTAAAGTGATTTTGCAATTCCGGGTAGGGTGCGCGCGCGCGCGCCGCCTACCCGTGTTGCCAGTGGGTCCCGCCCAGTGATTCAAGGCCGTGACCCGCCAATCGTCGGAGCTAGCTTCAGGAAAGCGGGGATGTGACCATTTTTGTTTCTTCCTACTTTGCAGTGATATATCGCCTAGTAAAACTGTACACAGTTTACACATTACACATAGTTAGGCACACAGTTAACCCTTTGATTGTCCCAGATGATAACCCCTTCCTTACCAGTGTCAGTGCATTTTAATTAGTACTGATCACTGTATTGGTGTCAGTGAACACACAAAGCGACTCGGGGAGCAAGCACGCACAAGTGCCCTTTGGAGATGTCAGGGGCCACCTTTGAGGCCCACTCTATCAAGAAAATTGATCACCACTGTTTTAAAGCAGCAGCTTGCTATGGAGCACTTGACAGGGAGGAGGAGCTGAGCGAATCGGCGGTAGACCGCAGAAGAGGAGGATCAGGGCTGCTCCATGCAAAACCAGTGCACAGAGCAGGTAAGTATAACAGTTACCTGTTTGTAAAGGATTCCATTTTATTTTTTTAAAAATAATCACTTTAACTTAGTCCAAAATTTTATATGAATGTTTTTGTTTGTTTGTTTGTTTTTTCCATTGACAATTTTTTTTTTTTTCCTATATTTTTTTTTTTTTCTATAGGTAATCTTTTAAGGAACAAAACAAAAAGCACGGTAAGTGTTCTTACTGCTCACAGCGACTCGCATGTTTCAGACTTATCATATGAAAATACAGTTTGTATCCGGATGGCTTGTAAACCCCCCAAAAAAACCCTTACAGTGTTACTAAACCAGGACCCTGCGTTCACTATGTCCGGTCTCCCCGACCCTGCCCACTATGTCCGGTCTCCCCCGGACCCCTGCGTTCACTATGTCCGGTCTCCCCGGACCCTGCGTTCACTATGTCCGGTCTCCCCGGACCCTGCGTTCACTATGTCCGGTCTCCCCGGACCCTGCGTTCACTATGTCCGGTCTCCCCGGACCCTGCTATGTCCGGTCTCCCCGGACCCTGCGTTCACTATGTCCGGTCTCTCCCCGGACCCTGCGTTCACTATGTCCGGTCTCCCCGGACCCTGCGTTCACTATGTCCGGTCTCCCCGGACCCTGCGTTCACTATGTCCGGTCTCCCCGGACCCTGCGTTCACTATGTCCGGTCTCCCCGGACCCTGCGTTCACTATGTCCGGTCTCCCCGGACCCTGCGTTCACTATGTCCGTTCCCTACCCTGCGATTCACTATGTCCGGTCTCCCCGGACCCTGCGTTCACTATGTCCGGTCTCCCCGGACCCTGCGTTCACTATGTCCGGTCTCCCCGGACCCTGCGTTCACTATGTCCGGTCTCCCCGGACCCTGCGTTCACTATGTCCGGTCTCCCCGGACCCTGCGTTCACTATGTCCGGTCTCCCCGGACCCTGCGTTCACCTATGTCCGGTCTCCCCGGACCCTGCGTTCACCATGTCCGGTCTCCCCGGACCCTGCGTTCACCATGTCCGGTCTCCCCGGACCCTGCGTTCACCATGTCCGGTCTCCCCGGACCCTGCGTTCACGCATTCACCATGTCCGGTCTCCCCGGACCCTGCGTTCACCATGTCCGGTCTCCCCGGACCCTGCGTTCACCATGTCCGGTCTCCCCGGACCCTGCGTTCACCATGTCCGGTCTCCCCGGACCCTGCGTTCACCATGTCCGGTCTCCCCGGACCCTGCGTTCACCATGTCCGGTCTCCCCGGACCCTGCGTTCACCATGTCCGGTCTCCCCGGACCCTGCGTTCACCATGTCCGGTCTCCCCGGACCCTGCGTTCACCATGTCCGGTCTCCCCGGACCCTGCGTTCACCATTCACCATGTCCGGTCCGGTCTCCCCGGACCCTGCGTTCACCATGTCCGGTCTCCCCGGACCCTGCGTTCACCATGTCCGGTCTCCCCGGACCCTGCGTTCACCATGTCCGGTCTCCCGGACCCTGCGTTCACCATGTCCGGTCTCCCCGGACCCTGCGTTCACCATGTCCGGTCTCCCCGGACCCTGCGTTCACCATGTCCGGTCTCCCCGGACCCTGCGTTCACCATGTCCGGTCTCCCCGGACCCCTGCGTTCACCATGTCCGGTCTCCCCGGACCCTGCGTTCACCATGTCCGGTCTCCCCGGACCCTGCGTTCACCATGTCCGGTCTCCCCGGACCCTGCGTTCACCCATGTCCGGTCTCCCCGGGACCCTGCGTTCACCATGTCCGGTCTCCCCCGGACCCTGCGTTCACCATGTCCGGTCTCCCCGGACCCTGCGTTCACCATGTCCGGTCTCCCCGGACCCTGCGTTCACCATGTCCGGTCTCCCGGACCCTGCGTTCACCATGTCCGGTCTCCCCGGACCCTGCGTTCACCATGTCCGGTCTCCCCGGACCCTGCGTTCACCATGTCCGGTCTCCCGGACCCTGCGTTCACCATGTCCGGTCCGGTCTCCCCGGACCCTGCGTTCACCATGTCCGGTCTCCCCGGACCCTGCGTTCACCATGTCCGGTCTCCACAGTACACAGAATGTGGAAATGCAATTATTTTAGTAAATATAAACTGCTAAATACCTTTTCTCATCAGCAGTTAGAGCAGCTCCGCCCGGACCCTTGTCACGCATGTCTTGTGACTTCTATCAGTGTCCAGCAGAGCACTGGTTATAGCTTGTAGGAGGAGTTTTCAGTCTCCTGTAGGAGGATGCAGAACCGTTGACCTCTGTCTGGATAGTGCTGATTGCCCTGTGCTGATTGCCCTGTGCTGATTGCCCTGTGCTGATTGCCCTGTGCTGATAACATGCATTCTCCCAAAAAAAACGAAAAGCTCTAGCAATACACACCAAACTGAGCATGTGCAGCTTGCCCCAGAGCCTCTGTTCTATCAGGAGATATTTAGTAGACATTGGAAGAAGGGGATAATCAGAGAAGACAGGATCAAACATCCATTTTGCACAATGCAGAGGATTAACCCCTTAGGCTCCACAGTGAGTATAACAAGCATGCTTTACTGCATATACAGACTGATTGTACTGTTGGGGGTTTAGTGGCACTTTAACTGGAGACCTTATAAGTCTGTGTTGCATCTGAGTTGGGCCCCGTTTATACTTGCAGGCCATGGTATACTTGCAGGCCATGGTCAGTAAGAAAAAGAAAAAAAAAAGTTGATCTGTTACCACCACCTAACCTAACATGGTAGCCAAAGGGGGTTGCACACATCATTACTTATTACTTGTAGCCAGGAATTCCTAGACTTTGCAATATTCTATATCTCCTTAATATATCTGTATCTCCATAGTAGGGTCGTGTTCCAAACAGTCACATAAAAAACATAACATAGTGCTGGGAAAATATTAAAAGTCCCTCATGTTTCAGTATATTCTTAGTAATGTCCCGATCAGTCATGTGAACAAAAGAACATAGCTTTCTTTTGTTCACATACCTGTGGTGCGGTGCCTGAGGCGTTGGCTGAATCTTTAAAGTGGTTGTAAACCTCAGACATGAAATACAGTGGATATAAAAAGTCTACACACCCCTGTTAAAATGTCAGGTTTCTGTGATGTAACAAAATGAGACAAAGATAAATAATTTCAGAACTTTTTCCACCTTTTATTGTGACCTATAAACTGTACAACTCAATTGAAAAACAAACTGAAATCTTTTAGGGGAGGAAGTAAACATAAAAAAATAAAATAATGTGGTTGCATAAGTGTGCACACCCTCTTATAACTGGGGATGTAGCCGCGTTCAGAATTAAGCAATCACCTCCAAAATCATGTTAAATAGGAGTCGGTACACACCCGCCATCATTTAAAGTGCCTCTGATTAACCCCAAATAAAGTTCAGCTGTTTTAGTAGGTATTTCCTGACATTTGCTTAGTCGCATCCTACAGCAAAAGCCATGGTCCACAGAGTGCTTCCGAAGCATCAGAGGGATGCTCATTGTTAAAAGGTATCAGTGAGGAGGAGGGTACAAAAGAATTTCCAAGGCATTAGATGTACCATGGAACACAGTGAAGACCGTCATCAAGTGGAGAAAATATGGCGCAACAATGACATCACCAAGAACCCTCAAATTGATGGAAAGACGAGAAGAAAACTGGTCTGGGAGGCTGCCAAGAGGCCTACAGCAACATTAAAGGAGCTGCAGGAATATCTGGCAAGTACTGGCTGTGTAGAACATGTGACAACAATCTCCCGTGTTCTTCATATGTCTGGTCTATGGGGTAGAGTGGCAAGATGGAAGCATTTTCTTAAGAAGAAAAACATCCAATTCCGGCTAAATTTTGCAAAAACTCATCTGAAGTCTCCTAAAAGCATGTGGGAAAATGTGTTATGGTCTGATGACACCAAGGCTGAACTTTGGCCATAATTGCAAAGATATGTTTGGCGCAAAAACAACACTGCACATCACCAAAAGAACACCATACCCACTGTGAAGCATGGTGGTGGCAGCATCATGCTTTGGGGCTGTTTTTCTTCAGCTGGAACTGAGGCCTTAGTCAAGGTAGAGGGAATTATGAACAGTTCCAAATACCAGTCAATATTGGCACAAACCCTGCAGGCTTCTGCTAGAAAGGCGAACATGAAGAGGAACTTCATCTTTCAGCATGACAACGACTCAAAGCATACATCCAAATCAACAAAGGAATGGCTTCACTAGAAGAAGATGAAAGTTTGGAATGGCCCAGCCAGAGCCGAGACCTGAATCTGATCGAAAATCTGTGGGGTGATCTGAAGAGGGCTGTGCACTGGAGATGCCCTCGCAATCTGACATATTTGGAGTGTTTTTGCAAGGAAGAGCGGGAAAATATTGCCAAGTCAAGATGTGCCATGCTGATAGACTCCTCCCCAAAAAGACTGAGCGCAGGAATCGCATCAAAAGGTGCTTCAACACAGTATTAGTGTAAGGGTGTGCACACTTATGCAACCATATTAATTTAGTTTTTTTTATTTTTACTTCCCTCTACCTAAAAGATTTCAGTTCATTGTTTATCTGAGTTGTACAGTTTATAGGTCACATTAAAGGTGTTAAAAGATCTGAAATGATTTATCTTTGTCTCATTTTTTTTACATCACAGAAACCTGACATTTTAACAGGGTTGTGTAGACTTTTTATATCCACTGCATGAACAAAGCATATCCTTCCATAGTGTGCACTTGCCTCAATCCAGAGCACTAAGTGTCATTTCTGTCTGCTGCCTTGTTCACTTCTGAGGCGTTTTCCTGCCACCAAGAGATAAATAGTGACAGGGATGGACACAGTCTGTGATTGACAGCCTCAGCTGTACTCCTGAGTGGGGTGGGGGGGGGGGGGGCTCCCTCCAGTCGGCTTTCAGAGCTCCTCTCGCTGGTGTAACTTCACCTCCCCGCTCCATGATTTTCAGAGATCCGGTGTAAATTCTGCACTTTGAATGGATGTAGAGAAAAGAGAGCTGCAGATAAACAGGTACACCTTATGTAGGAGGATATGTTTCATCTGTGTATCACCGGAGGCCAGTCACGTCACTGGATATATGTAAGAGTTTACAATCTCTTAAAATAAAAAAAAGGGGGGGGGGGGGGGATCGGCAAAATTGATGTGTGGGGAAATGGAGCAATTTTGCACAGTTTTGCCAAATCATAACAAGCAACATAATAAATTATCAGAACATAAAACTGTGCAGCCAAAAGGGCTAATGGCTGGTCCATGGACCTCCTTACAGATAAATCTGGCATAGTATGGGGGGGGGGGCCCCAGAGCTGTTTGGATGACATGCAAGTGTATGGGTGCTATATATAAACAATTAGTGTTTTTTTCCTTTTCCCTAGAATATAACATTCGCCCAGAACATTTTATAGCTCTTTATTTGTAGGAAGTCTCCCCGGCATTCAGGAAGCGTTGCACAGCAGAGCTCATCACTGGTTTTTATTTATGATTCAACGAGTTGGGAATCCTTGTCACAGATAATAAGACGGTATTTCTGGTTTTGTCTTGCAGATCTGTGTAGAAGGGAACATAGCAAGTGGAAAAACCAGCTGTCTCCAATACTTCTCGAACACCGCAAACCTCGAGGTATTTCTGCAACATAGGTGGCTTATCTCCTAATGCAGGCCATAGACGGGTCGAAAATCGGTCGATTTTTCGGCCGAAAAAAAATCGGCCGATTTTTGCACCGTTAGTGGGTTAATTGGTCGGCCGTTTTTTTGGGGTTTTGGCACTTTTTTTTTTTTTTTTTTTTTTATCGGTAAAGTTGGAAAAGAATCGGACGATTTTTGCACCGTTAGTGGGTTAATTGGTCGGACGTTTTTCTGGGTTTTGGCACATTTTTTTTTTTTTTTTTATTGGTAAAGTTGGAAAAAAAAATGGCTGATTTTCCCGGCAATGATGGACAAATCGGCCAATCGTTTTACCAATAAAAAAATCTGTGTGTGAGCCGTGACCTGCAAGAAAAAGAATTCCAGTCCGCTATTATATTTTTATATGAAAAGTTGCAACAATGTATCTATATCTGAATAAAAACATCTGTATCCGAAATGGATACAATGTTGCAACCTCAATACTTTTTCATGTCAAATATAATAGCGGAGCTCTTTGCAAGGGACAGAAGTAATTAAATGCTGGCCATAGACGGGACGAAAATCCGTTTTTTTTTTTTTTTTTTTTTTTTTTCTTTTCTTTAACCATTGGTGGTAACGTCGGCCTTTTGAATGACCGATTTTTTTTTTTTTTTACGTGTTTTTTTTGTTTAAAAAACCGGATGGTTTTTGACCCATCTATGGCCTGCATAAATTTAGTCCTATGAATACTTGGGGGGGGGGGGGGGGGGGGGGCAATATTTGTCCTTCAATATTTGTCCTTCAATATTAGTGATGCACCAAAATGATTTCTGGTACCGAAACCAAAAATTCAAAATGCACTTGGCCGAAAACCGAAATACACTTTTGATTACAAAAAAACAATCTATACCCCATTTTTTTTTTGTAGTACATGAAAGGGGATGTAACTGCGAGTAAATAGATACCCAGCATGTCACTGTTTAAAATTGCACACGCTCGTGGAATGGCGTGAAACTGCGGTACTTAAAAATCTCCATGGGCGATTCTTTAAAAATTTCTACAGGTTAGCAGTGTAAAGTTAGAGGAGGTCTAGTGCGAGAATTATTGTTCTTGCTCTGACGCTCTCGTGGCGATACCTCACGTGTGTGGTTTGAACACCATTTACATATGTGGGCATGGCCTACGTATGTGTTCACCACTACGTGCGAGGACGGGGGCATTTTAAACTTCCTTCTTTTTTTTTTTTTTTTTTTTTTTTTCACCCTTTTTGGGTAGAGTAAAGGAGGCTTATAACCCCTGTCAGTTTATATTTGTCCATCTGTGTCCCATTGGGGAGACTTGCCTTCGCTTCCTGTCCCATAGCCAAAACAGGAAGTGAGAGAAAATCCCTGCAAATTAAGGGAATTCCTTGGAGACCCCAGGTCACCAGAACGAATGTCCCCATTGGAAAGTTTCCCCTCTTTCTTTTCTGGGGACAGCCAAAAATTTGGAGTTTCATTTACTTTCACTTTTTAAATGATAATGGTAAACAGGACAACTAGAGAGGGTGAATCTCCTGAACGGGTGCGCAGACAGCGATAAAAACCTAATAGGTGTTCTAATACATGTCCACTGCGCCCAAATCTTAAAAAAAAAAAAAAAAAAAAAAGGTTTTGATTTTAGTTATACTTTAAAGTCAGCAGAGTATTTTTTTTTTTTTTTTTCCATATGGACTCTATAGAGGGGAGAGCACAATTGTGTTTGAAGGAGCACAGAGATTGGAATATGAAGATGTGCATGTTTCCATAAGAACACAGATATAGGTTTGAGAAGAGGATGTCACAATATGAATTATGTTTCAAATATAACTGAGAGGACTTACAAACTTTAAAATCGCGATTATATTTGTTGTATTTGCATTTATTTCATGTGTAATGTTCCTTGATTTTTGAGAAGCGCGCCATTATTTTATATTTTGGCATTGATATGGGTATGTGAAGATGTGAGTTGCTTCTCTGTTGAATTGTTTTGTATTGCTTTGTTTGGCTGCTCGCAAAATTTTTGGTTATTTGTTAGCAATTGAAGAATTGTTTACAAAAAAATTAACTCTGATATGCTTTTCTATCTATTTACTAATGCTAGCAGCGTAAGGATTATAAATATTTAGTGTTGAAGTAAAGTTCCACTTTTAACTATTTTTTTCATTTTTTTTTTTTTTTTTTTTTTTTTTAAGGTGTTAACGGAGCCTGTAGCTAAATGGAGAAATGTCCATGGTCATAATCCCCTGGTAGGTAACATTTTAAAATATTACTTAACCATTTGACCTCCATGCCTTTTTCTGACACATTTGTTTACATGTAAAAATCAATATTTGTTTTAATACCCCCAAACGGGTTTTTTTTTTTTTTAACGCAGAGGCCCTAGAGAATAAAATGGTGGGTTTGGCAATTTTTTTTATGTCGCACAGTATTTGCACAGCAGTTTTTTCATGCGCAATGTTTTGGGGAAAAAAACTTTTTAATTTTAGTGCAAAAAAAAAAACACACAATACATAACCCATTTTTTGTACAATTTTTTAAATACCATTTTTTTTTTTTTTTTTTTTTTTTTTTTTTTACTTTTTGTTTTAATTCCAGTTATTGCTGATACAAGGAATGTAAACATCCCTTGTGACAGCAATAGGCGCATGACAAATACTCTTTACTTAGGGATCCGGGGTCTCTAAGACCCTAAATCCCTTCAATTAAAAGCATTCCAAACAAACCAAAATCAGTGTTTTTTAAATGCTGTAGATTTTTTTTTTTTTTAATTCTTAAAATGGCGCCCTTTAGTGCTGAGTAAACTGGAAGTGATGTCAGGTCCTTGCTTCTGGGTTACTGTAATGAGCTGATCAAAGTCGATTCTGGCTTTGTTTGGCTGTCCAGCCAGCTGGAGAACGTGCGATTTTGGTTGCTTGGGTCCTATGGTAGAACAGGAGAGCTTGAGAGAGCTTTGGGGGGGCGGTGACATCCCCTCCAGCTGCTTTTTTGAAAGCAATTGAACGGCTAGTTAGCCACTCCGATTGCTTTTACAAGGGAGCCGAACGCAGGCCTCCCCCTGGTATAACTGATTGAAGCCGACCGACTTGCGGGTGCATCGTTGGTTCACCAGTGGTTAAAGGTAAACTCTGCATTCTAAAAAAAAATTATATATATATATATATATATATATATATATATATATATATATATATATATATATTATTTTTTTTTTTTTTTTTTTAGGTCCATATATATTTGGACATGAGCACAATTTTTTTTTAGTTTTTTTTTTTTTTTTTCTTTCAGGTATTTGCCAAAACATATTCAAGCTATAGTTATATAATGGATATGGGCTGAATTATTTGGGGGTATGTACATCCACATTGGAGGAAGGGTTAAGGAATTACAGCTCTTAAGAGTAGGCTGTTTTTTCTTTCACACTGAGACTTCAATCTCTGGGCAGGAAAGGAGTGCCTCAATCTCATAGCCAGTAAAACTGTATATCTGGACATGAACTGTACATGGACAGTGTACAGGTGGTGATGATAAAGACAGACCCTCCTAATTGGAGATCCTTCTCACTGTGAAGGCCACTTATAGACTGGGGCAGTGGCCATTTTTTTTACTACTAAGTGGATGGATCTCAAGATTTGTGCCAAAAAAAAAGAAAAGTGCCCTAGCCCAAGCCCCGCTGGCTGCTGTGTGTCCTTGCTGCTATAGCCTCCTGGAATGGGTAACAAGGTAATTCCACTGCAGGGACAGGTCCAGGTCATTTGTGCCCAGGTGAGAATGGCGACGGGATAGGGCTGGGCAAATGGTAACATTTATTAAAAAAACAAAAAACAAAAAAAAGCTGAATTACATTGCAGAGTGGATAGGGAGTCCAGGGATCTTAGGTGGTTGTGGAGGGTGAAGGTCTGCTTTAAGTCCTCATGCACACTGTACATTTTTTACAGCGGCTGTTTTTGGCTTTTTTTTTTCTACAGCCAGTAAACCCCCCAGCATGTTATCCTATGTGTCCATACACACAGACTGTAATCAATGTTTTTTGACCAAAAAAAAATTTTTGTTAAAACAAAATGCGGCAAACCAACGCTAAACGATAATGCAAAAAGGCAAATCACCAGATCACAATGAGGCTCAGATAATTTAAGTGACACCTTGGAGAAGTTGAAGCTAAGTGGATCTGACTGCACACCTGACAAGCTAGATGGATGTTTGGATTGTCTGCTTCAGGCACTTGGTCAAAACAATTGGTGAGCCATTGTCCTTCAGAGATACCTTGGCTGAGTAGGGGAAATAGGAACCCCATAAGGAGATCCACTGAAGGAAGGAAGCTGCTGGCCTATATGAATTAAGGATCCAGGGTGATCCTGCAAGCCTGTTGGCCCCTAGGGGTCACTGGGAGGAGGTGAGGAGGCAATTTAGCCACCATTAGGAGAAGATTTTGGCACAATCACGAATTGGTCAATAACCACTACACATTGCATGATTATGTTTATCACCAGAAGGACATTGTTCTAATTGATTTTTGAAAGAGTGGACACTTTTTTGCACTATTTTGGCACTATAGCACTTTTATCCGTATAAAGGTTTTATTATAACCTGGTTATTATTTTATCCAGTAGGTGTGTGAGCACGATTATTTAATTTTTAGACACTTGGTTTATTTATTCAGAGTGTGAACACCTATGTTTAATATGGAACACAGTTATTTATTATAAGTTGACATTATTTATATATTTTTATTATTACTACAAGGTGTTTTTGATTGTATGAAATTTTTGATCATTTTTAGATTGTATTCTATGAATTGGTCACTTATTTATATCCTTTATTTATTTTGAGTGCTACACTATTTAGTTATGTAATTTACACAGCTAACGTTACAAGCATTATTAAAACGTCCCGTGTGCATGAGGAATAAATGGTCACACACAATTAGATTTTACTTTGAATCGATCTATTAAAAGAGCAAAATTGGCTAACTGCATAGTGTAAGGGTTTTCCTTATTGTATTTAAATTGAATTGAGTGTTGGGGGAGGTTCTTGCCCTACCTAGTAGTTGGTAAACCCTGAAGAGATTCTGTCGCCTTGCCTGTTCAGGGCCCGATAACAGCTTCTCTTGAAACTCATACTCTGATGTTTCTGCTGCCCCATTCAAGCCCGTGGACATACCTGGTACGTCTGGGTATGGTTAGCTTCTCCTCTTCCTCCTGCAATGCAATTCTCAGGTCTTCATGTCTGATCACTGATTGTAGAAGAGTTGTATTTATCTGGCCCAGATTATCTGTGTTAAATTATGTGTGAGCATGTTGTGTTGGCAGTTATAATAGATTTGTACTCCATATCTATTACAGGCCCTAATGTACCAGGACCCTTCAAGATGGGGACTTACATTGCAGACCTATGTGCAGCTCACTATGCTGGATGTCCACACAAGGCCAACAGTAAGTTCATTTTTTTTTTTCCCCCCTGCTCAGCATATCTAAATGGCCACTCCACATAATCCTGATTTCCTTCTGGTCCATTAAGTGGCACAGGAAATCTTTAAACCTTTTGGGTTATACAAATGCCTACAGGAGGATTGGACACTAGCAAACAAACTGTAGGCCAGCCCAGGGTAACCCCTCCCCCTTTTGCTAGTGTCCTAGGAGGTTGAATGTTTGTTTTTTTTCCTTTTGCTTTAGTGTTAGTGGTTCTAAAGCACGGGTGTCAAACTGGTGGCCCTCCAGCTGTTCCCAAACTACAAGTCCCATCAAGAATTGCAAGATTGACAGTTACAAGCATGACTCGCAAAGGCATAATGGGACTTGTAGTTTTGCAACAGCTGGAGAGCAGCCAGTTTGACACCCCTGATCTAAAGGCTCAAGGTTTTTACCTTGATGCATTCTATGCATTAAAGGATAACTTCACCTTTTTTAAAAAAAAATAAAAAATAATAATAAATGCACATCTTTTTTGCAGGTAAAAATGCGCATTATTATTTTTTTTCTCTTAAAAGCATTGTACCTACAATTGGCAGATTTGTCAGTGTATCTGTGTGCTTGTACCTTTTTTATATGAGTAAGCAGATACATACTGACAGGAAGAGACAATGAGCTGCCACAGCGCTCAACAGTGCTCAGGTAGTTCACTGATAACTACAATTCAACAGCTGCAAAGGCTGTTGGGACTTTGTTTTTCCATTCACAGAATTATGGGAATGAAGTGGGGCTGTGTGTTTTTAATTTTTTTTTTTTTTGTAATAGAGACGGGGGGGGGGGGGGGGGGAGATCCCCCGCTAGCTGTCACTAGATGTAGCCCCCACTTAAACTTAACTGAGCCCCATCCCGCAATGTGCATGAGAGCAGCAGCTCTCCAGGGGTCTCTCTTGCCTCATTGGCTCACAGACCAAAATGCCAGGGTAACACTCATAAGGGGAAGTACCAATACACCCTGGCCTCACTGAGACTTGTCAGCTAACGCTTTTCAAGGGACGAACCCTCTTCAACACTCGTCATTGCTCTGATAAGGAGGATTTGTCCCTGGAAACGCATTGGCTGGCAAGTGTTGGTGACTTCAGGGTTTGTTGGTACTTCCCCTTATGAGGGTTACGCTGCCAGTTGGGTCTGGTTCACATTGCCCATTAGCCTTGGGCTTTTGTGAGTATGCACTCATTTCTCTTTTTTTTTTTTTTTTTTTTTTTTTCTTTCTTTCTTTACTAAAGGTTTACCTGGTAATGCACTAGGTCCTTGTGCCGTTTTCATGTTTTTCTGTTAAGATTTCCCAGTCTGAAGAGGGCAGCATTAGCGCTTTGTACCATGATCTTCTATGAAGAGATCCTTTTGAATAATCAACACTACCACTTTGTTGATCCCTGCGAATCCTCTAGCTTTACAGTGCCATTTGTAGATTGGTGTCTGGACCGGCCCGAGTGGATGTGGTTAGACTCCTGCTGGATGCATTATGGGCTTTACCAGATTGCCATGATTTTATGTGTCCAGGCTATTTTACCATCCTGCTTCACAGTCCTTCTTTCTAGACAGCATGGTGCTGTCCAGGAGTACGGTTAGCCCCAGGAAGTGTATTCTTGATGACCTGGGCTCACAGGATGTAAGTTAGATGCCACACTGGACATCATTGAAATGAAGACTACAAATGCTGGATTGAAAGGCAGTGGCCCTGCTGGTGGCAACTCTGCTGAGGTAGTGAGTGTTGCAACCGGAGCTGCTTTTTTTTTTTTTTTTTTTTTTTTTTTTTTTAATTTGCTGGTAAGTCAGCAGATTTCGACTTTAGGTCTACACCAGGGGTGGACTGACCATTTGGAAACTCAGGCACTGCCCAAAGGCCCAGGGTCAGTAGGGGGCCCCATGAGATGCCCCTGGTACCTTTTTTCATAGGCTTTTTTGAGTTTGGGCAAGGATACAGGGGCCCCATGATCCCCTATTGCCCGGGGGCCCCATGAGTTGTCAGTCCGCCCCTGTTTTACACTGAACAGATCTGTTTAGAATTTATCTCAGCTATGGGAAGTATCACTGATATCCATATAGAGGTATAATCCCTTGGCTGTAGGATCACTAGTGCCGCTTCTCATAATGGAGTAGTGTGAAAAAAAAAAAAAAAAGTTTACCTCATAACCACTGGAGCTCGCCACATCCTGAAAGCTTTATCACCTCTTCTGTGGCATTAGATGTAATCCCAAAGGCGCTTATAGGCGCAAGCAGTGTGGAAGCCGTGGCAGTCATGTCTGTGTTGTCTCTTACAGGATGCTCCCGCTAAAATGATGGAGAGGTCCATTCACAGCGCAAAGTACATCTTTGTAGAAAACCTGTACAGAAGGTAGAGTATCTTCATTAAACCTTTTATCCTTTTACTTAACCCCTTAACGCTGACGTAACACAAATATACGGCCTCACAGAACTGGGCTTTTTTCTGTGGGGCTGCATATTTGCGTACCTGTCTTTGTGCTGCACAAAGACTGCGGTGTCACTGAGAGCACCGGGTCCTGTTCTAACGATCGGGACCCGGGACTCCCGATTTCCGGGTCACATGATCGCTGTGATAACCTCTGATTGGCTATCACAGTGATCAGTCACTGTACAGCCTCGCCCCCTTGTTTTTTCTTTCTCTATGAATGGAGGAGAGAGATTACCATATTTTTCGCTCCATAAGACGCACCTGACCATAAGACGCACCTAGGTTTTAGAGGCCGAAAACAGGAAAAAAAAAATTCTGAACTAATGTGGACTGCAGACACAGTACAGGAGATGACCAGAGACTGCGGACACAGTACAGGAGATGACCAGAGACTGCGGACATAGTACAGGAGATGACCGGAGACTGCGGACATAGTACAGAAGATGACCGGAGACTGCGGAGACAGTACAGGAGATGACCGGACTGCGGAGAGAGAGTGCAGGAGATGACCAGAGACTGCGGAGAGAGTGCAGGAGATGACCAGAGACTGCGGAGAGAGTGCAGGAGATGACCAGAGACTGCGGAGACAGTGCAGAGATGACCAGAGACTGCGGAGACAGTGCAGGAGATGACCAGAGACTGCGGAGACAGTGCAGGAGATGACCAGAGACTGCGGAGACAGTGCAGGAGATGACCAGAGACTGCGGAGACAGTGCAGGAGATGACCAGAGACTGCGGAGACAGTGCAGGAGATGACCAGAGACTGCGGAGACAGTACAGAGGAGATGACCAGAGACTGCGGAGACAGTACAGGAGATGACCAGAGACTGCGGAGACAGTACAGGAGATGACCAGAGACTGCGGAGACAGTACAGGAGATGACCAGAGACTGCGGAGACAGTACAGGAGATGACCAGAGACTGCGGAGACAGTACAGGAGATGACTGCTGACCTTTGGGGAGGGGGGGGGGGGGAGCGGGTACCTTAATTTGACAGGTACCCACTCTTACTCCCGCGGAGTTGTTCTTTGATCTTACCTGTTCCTCTATCCAGCCGCGCGCTGTCTACCCGGCTTCTGTAGTGTGGGCGCTCGGGGGACAGCCGAATGCCCAGTGCGCATGAGCGAGAAGCACTTGCGCTTTGTGATTGGTCCGGCGGCTTCTGGGATCTGTCATGTGTCCCAGGTACCGCCTTACCATTCACAAAAAGCACCGCTTCTTGTGCATGCGCACTTGGGACCCGGCTGTCACACACACTACAGAAGCCGGGAAGACAGCGCGCTGCTGGATAGAGGAACAGGTAAGGTCCCACTGCAGAGCTGAGCGGCCGGCCCGGTATTCTGACATGGCGGCGGTGGAAATACCAGAACGGCCGCTCCATATTCGCTCCATAAGACGCACTGACATTTTTTCCCCCCTTTTTTGGGGGGAAAAAAGTGCGTCTTATTGAGCGAAAAATACGGTATATCTCTCTAACTCCTGGCATAGAGAGAGAAAATTTTTTGTAAAAAAAAAAGAAAAATAAAGAAAAAATACCTAGATCAAGGTTTGATCTAGTTCAGTGCGACGGTTAGTGTTTGGGTCAAGGTCAGGATGTAACAAAAAAATTGGTGTTAGTGTCATTGTCAGTGTGTTTTTTAGGTAAAAAAAAAAAAAAAAAAGACAAAAACAAAATGCACACTATTGTTTCTGGGCTGTACTACGGGTACAAACAACAAATAACATACATATAAGGTATCGCTGCGATTGTCAACAGCTGGAGAATTTTATTTTGGGTTGTTCTTTGGTGGTAGGTTATGGTAGTAACAAGAAACACACAGCTAAATAAATTATTATTTTGGGCCAGTTTTCCTTTGATAGAAAAAAACGCGGTATAATTCACCTGGATGTACAAAGTAGTTGTGATGATATGTACGGTTTTACTAACACATGTCAACGTTTCAAAATTGTGCTTAGGTATTTTGATTTTTTTTTTTTTTTTTTTTACCCTTAGGCATGAAGGGGTTAAAGTGTACCTGAACTATGAGCCTGGAGTCACACTTGTGTGTGTGTGATATTTTGTATGGCTCAAATCGTACCACATCCACACCAAAAAGGTGCAGGACCCTTTTTGTTTTGGTCCGCACTAGAATCCCATGTGATCCGATTCTGCACATTGCAGACTGATTTCGGGGTGTTAATTTAACATACACACATGCAGCGGTTCGCATGAATGGGGTGCTATTATGATGCGGTATGGAATTCGCACAGAAACTGCTGCAAATTCCGCACTGCATCAGTGTGAACCCAGGCTGAATGTCTTCTTCCTGTAGCAATATCACATCTACAAAGTAAAAGCAAAGGGTATAAAAGGATCCCAAATGTTCCTTTTTTTTTCTCCTGAAATCCTTACAGGTTTCTCTCTGGCGAGAATAGGCATTTGGTCATGTGATATCGGCCAAGTATAGTTGGTAACATAGTATAGGCGTAACAACAGATTGGCTGGCTGTGCTCTGGACCTCCCTTTTTCTGAAATCGCACAACCATATGTCTAGATTTGATCATCTGACCATTCATGGGAGGAAGAAGCAATTGGCCTCGAGTTCACACTAAAATGCGGCGCAGGAAACCTGTGATCCGTGCAGGTTTACTGCACTGCATTCACATTGCACTGCCCTTTGCAGTCTGCAGCGGGTGTCAATGTGATCTAACAACACCCCAAATGCACCGAATCGCATGGTACAAAACGAGTATCTGATCTGGTTGCAGTGCGTTCCCAAAATCTCGGATGCGGAGCGATTTGCGCACATTCAAAATGAATGGGCTCAAATCAGACCGCACTTTTTTAAATGGTTGTAAAGGATCAAAGTTTTTTACATTCATGCATTATTTTTTATTTATTTCAGGTACTTCTATAGCGCTGTCAATTTACGCAGCACTTACATATACAGTTGCAAGAAAAAGTATGTGAACCCCTTGGGATTACGTGGAATTTTGCATGAATTGGGCATAAAATGTGCTCTGAACGTCATCTAAGTCACAACAATAGAAGAACACAGTCTGCTGAACATAATACTACACAAACATTAGATGTTGCCATGGTTTAATTGCACATAACATGTAAACATTCACAGTGCAGGGAGGAAAAAGTATGTGAACCCTTGGACTTAATAACTGGTTGACCCTCCTTTGGCAGCAATAACCTCAACCAAACGTTTCCTGTAGTTGCAGATCAGACCTGCACAACGATCTGGAGTAATTTTGGAACTCTCCTCTTCACAAAACTGTTTCAGTGTAACAATATTCTTGGGATGTCTGGTGTGAATTGCTCTCTTAAGGTCATGCCACAGCATTTCAATCGGGTTGAGGTCAGGACTCTGACTGGGCCACTCCAGAAGGCGTATTCTGTGCTGTTGCAGCCATTGTTTTGTTGAATTACTTGTATGCTTTGGGTCATTGTCCTGTTGCATCACCCATCCTCTACGGAGCTTCAGTTGGCGGACAGATGGTCGTACGTTTTCCTGCAAAATGTCTTGATAAACTCTGGAATTCATTTTCCCATCAATGACAACAATCCGTCCAGGCCCTGAGGCAGCAAAGCAGCCCCAAACCATGATGCTCCCTCCGCCATGTTTTACAGTGGGGATGAGGTTTTGATGTTGGTTGCTGCGCCTTTTTTTCTCCACACATAGTGTTGTGTGTTCTTCCCAAACAACTCAATCTTGGTTTCATCTGTCCACAGTATATTTTGCCAGTAGTGCTGTGGAACATCCAGGTGCTCTTTTGCAAACTTCAAACGTGCTGCAATATTCTTTTTGGACAGCAATGGCTTCCTCCGTGGTGTCCTCCCATGTACTCCATTCTTGTTTAATGTTTTCCTTATAGTAGATGTGTCAACAAAAATGTTAGCATGTGCCAGAGATTTCTGTAGGTCTTTAGCTGACACTCTGGGATTCTTCTTTACCTCATGCAGCATTCTGCGCTGTGCTCTTGCAGTCATTTTTACAGGACGACCACACCTAGGGAGAGTAGCAACAGTGCTAAACTTTCTCCATTTGTAGACAGTCTGTCTTACCGTGGACACATGAACATCAAGGCTTTTGAAGATACTTTTGTAACCCTTTCCAGCTTCATGCAAGTCAACAATTCTTGATCGTAGGTCTTCTGAGAGCTCTTTTCTGCGAGGCATGGTTCACATCAGACAGTGCTTCTTGAAACCAGTAAACCCAAAACAGGTGTGTGTTTTTTAAGGGCAGGACAGCTGTCGCAACACATCCAATATCATCACACTGATTGGAGTCAAGGTTGGCTCACTCCTGGCTCAAATTAGCTCTGGGAGAAGTCATTAAGCTAAGGCCTCACATACTTTTTCCTCCCTGCACTGTGAATGTTTACATGTTATGTGCAATTAAACCATGGCAACATCTAATGTTTGTGTAGTATTATGTTCAGCAGACTGTGTTCTTCTATTGTTGTGACTTAGATGACATTCAGAGCACATTCTGTGCCCAATTCATGCAAAATTCCACGTAATACCAAGGGGTTCACATACTTTTTCTTGCAACTGTGTGTGTATATGTATATGTGTATGTATATATATATATATTTTCTACATTCACATCAGTCCATCAGTCCCTAACCCTCAAAGGGTGTACAATCTAAAGTCCCTAACGTACATTCATACATACATACTAGGGCCAATTTAGACAAGAGCCAATTAACCTACCAGCATGTCTTTGGAGTGTGGGAGGAAACCCGCACAGGGAGAACATGCAAACTCCATGCAAGTAGTGCTGTGGTTGGGATTCAAACTAACAACCCTAGTGCTGCCAGGGGGAGGTGCTAACCATTTAACCACTGTGCTGCCCTATACATTCTAAGCATGAAGGTAAAAAAACCCTGTGTGCAGCAGCCCCCCTAATGCTTACCTAAGACCTATCTTGA